CAAAAATCCATGGGCTGTGTCTGGTCCAGGAGTGGCCATTTGTGGCCCCTGATCTCACCTAATTCCCCCCATCATTTTTCAGGTGAGGAAACAGGTAGCAAAAGTCACGAAGCAAAGTGTGTCAGATAATGAAAGGTGTAAATGTGTGTATATATATATATATATATCAAAAACACACCATTTTTAATGAAAGAAGTTAATATCCACACATTTGTACTTCTGTACAATTTTGGGTAATATATAATTTTAAGCTGTTTACAAATAACATGTAATGCTTCAAATATTACATAATGTTGATAATACATTTCTAGCAGAAATAAATATATTGCACTTAAAAAGAACTTCGTTAGATGTTACTTCATAATATTAGGCTTCTAACTTCTTCTCCCATAAAGCATTTCCCACGCCCTTCCCCCAGCCCCCAGCACACCGCACTTCATAACAACGACTGTTCCCACGCGATTCATTAAGCAGATGAACACAGCAAACAATAGAACCGTGATAGAGTCTACTAAAAAGGCTAATTCGATTTTTTCCTTTAGGGAATTCAAAGACCTTCTTTCAGGTTTCTGAAACTAAGGAAAACACAACCACTAAATACAGTATATTAATGTACCAGAAGTAAAACACGATAAATTGTAGTTTTTGTTCAGATGTATTATTTCGCCAAAATGTTTTTACTTCCTTATTATCAGGGGAGAGGATCGGAATTATTTAAGGGATGGACAGAGACAAAAGGGCCAGAAAATACTTACGGATTAAATCATCCGTCAAACGTATATAAATGAACCTGTGCATATTTAAGCATGCTAAAGAAAGATAAATATTGGAATATTTGATACCTGGCATGGAATGAACAGTAGTGAAGAAAGGATGTTTAGTTTCATCAAGTTTTAACCTCCTCTTTGCTTGTTTACATAAAATCCTTGCACTCTGAAATAATATGCATATAAAATCCATCCTCCACCCATCTCTAAAGGGGCCAGCCGAAAATCTTTTCTGTCTAGTGCTTTATTTCTGTCTACACAGTCTAGATTTAGGGTATAATATTGCTTTACTTGTAATAATTATCAAGTCCATACATGTTTAATAATGAAAAGTTTTCCTTATGTAGTCAATGGAAGATTGTGTAAAAAGACTGTTTTTTCTTACAATCTATGACCCTGTTCATTACGTAATTGAATCTTTGAATTTTAGTACCTGAGTCATCGCTAAGCTTGACTATGTATTTAATGGGGTGGTAGAGTCACTTTATCCACTTTATTTGAGGCTTATTTTTCTCAATATAATTCAGCTTAAACATAAGCAGAGCATCCTGAAAAGCTAATGTGAAATTCAGCATTGGAATAACTATCCTAACACCTCGCCAAAAAATTCGTAGGCAACATGGGATGAGGATACTTTATAAGAATACTTATTTGGGGGGCTTTTAGAGGGTTTCCTTTTTCTTTTTTGTGGGGGGATGGATGTCATGGCTGGAGAATTGCAATGATAGAGATGCGGTTAACGGTGGGGGAGGGGAGAACGTGGAATACCCCTGAAATCAGTATGACTCCTACATCATAGCCCTTACACAGGGGTTTTGCTAGATGATGATGAATCATCAGGGAGCTTCTTAATTCCTCCTTTGTCCACCTACTGGGAAGGTGGTAGACCTTCCAGACAACATACCACTGTTATAAACTCAAAGGACCAGCAATGAAAGCTGGATGTGTTTATCTTTATATTGCTAAGGGGCAGGCGGAGAAGGATGGAGGAGTTACTAAGTGAAAGAAATAATTGAACTGACTCAGAATTATCAATAAACATTTTAAAAACAAATCATATATTAATTATGTGATTAATATTAGTTAATTGTGTGAGTTAATTTCTTTGGGTTAGATAAAGAGCTGCTGACAGGGCCTCTTTTTAGCAGCCGTGCTTTTTGATAGTGTCATATACCTGGAGGAGAAACCCCGAATTTATTCTAAATGTACTATACCTCATGCTCTTTATTATTCAGTTGGATTTCCCGCTAATTATCTAGTTCTTGCGATTCCTTTTGGCAAAATAGACTTTAGAGTTTTAAATCTTACATGCCCGAGGGGTGAAGCAAGAATCAACAATCAGAATAGCTCGTAAAGACCCCGGTGGAGCAAATTTCTACCCCTGGCTCTCACGGCTAGACTGACTCGCATCAGGCTGAGCTCCATGTCACTTGTGCTTTTTATTTCTGGTTCAAATAAGACCAAATACTTACACACTATATCCAGTTTAGAATTCCAGGTGTGGCTTTTCAATAGCATGCTTTGCGATATTAGTCTGTTCTCTAAGCACTCTTATCTTAGTCTTATATTGCTTAATCACAAAGTTATGAAGTCAGGAAATACTGGTGTAAAACCATATTTAACAAAAACATACAACTGTCCTTTGAGACACACCAGTTGGGAAAAATATCGAAATAGTATTAAAATCATTCTTTCATTCTCATTGAAAAGAAGATTCAGATGTGATTTACTTTAGCAGACCAGTAATTTACCAGAATATTGACTAGCATCATGGAAAATAGCATCTACCTTTGCTGTTCCTGCTTTAAGCAGCAGTACTCTATATTAAAAGGAGCACTGGTGAGAGGCCCAGTATTAAATATTAAACCCCTACCCTAATCTCTATGGATATTTAAACATTGCTCATAACTGTATTTTTAAGGAAATGCACATCTGTGCTGTGTTTGAAAACAAACTACCTGTGTATACCATAGCATAACATGCCAGAAGCTATAAATTAGCCAACAGTGCCTTCCACGGGACTCTGAGATGCTTGGTTAACACAGTCCACGCTTCTCCATACAGAAACTTAGGGATACAGTGGAGAAGGACAATTGCAAAGTCCAGCAATGGCCTCACATGGACAGGCTATGCCATTTTGCCATGTTTCATGAGCTGGAAATGCCCCAGAAAGGCATTTGATGTGGAAAAGCCTAACACTAAAATGACCAAATAAAATCCCAATGGAGTCTGATGTGATAAGTATATTGCATTTACTCCCAAATACACCTCTGCTCACAGCAGCAATATTTCCCATCTCTTTTCCCATCAACCATGTAGTAAACAGATTTAATACTTTTGTAGTCAGACAGAGTAAAAGGAATATTGCATACAAAATTATTAAGTTAAAATCGAGTTTCGGGGAGCTTTGTGAAGAAGACAGATTACATCCTGTAGCTAGAATGCATTATACCTAAAGTTGAAGGAGTATAAACTTCATTAAATTTTTGTTATAAGTAAACGAACTGTTGCAAAATACCAAATATACTACCCAAATATACTACCCTGACCATAATTGTTTAGTTATATGTTGCCCAAAATAATATAGAGATTATATATAACTAAAATATAATTAATTACTGTACAACACTTAAAGAAGGCTTCAAAACACAGCAAGAGCTGAAAATGAAGTGGATAAATGTTTTAGATTTACTCGTAAGCACTGTCAATGTTTCAATCAGGGAGTCCTCGAGTTAACATGTAATTTCACATAATAGGCTAGAAAAATGGTAAAGGAGTCACTGAATGTAACAGTAAGAGAAAAGGACAAATCAGACACATGGGCACATAGCCCCTCGTGAGCACAGGTTAGATGGTGGCTGGCGACACAGGCACTTAGAATGGCCACCCACAAATCCTTGTCAGTTAGCAGTAGCGGCTAATCTATCATCGAAGCAGATTTACCAAAAATGAGGATTTGGCCTGGTGCATTTTAACATCCATAAGGTCTCCCAAAGCTGAAGAAAACTGAAGGGGCCATCGGCACCCGTGGCGGAGAAGCTTCTTTCAGAATAGGAAAATCAGCTTTTTATTGCAGCTTAAGTGAAAGAAAGCTTCGCACGTCATCATGTAGAGGCTTTAGTGTTCCTCGGTGAATAGATCAGTAGTGTACTTAGAACGCAGCCCAGAAAATTCAAACCTCAGCTTTACAATGTAACACAAAGAGCCTCTTGCTTCAAAATTGTATATAGAAGCTTTTCCCTACTTAGATATGGCAAGTGTGCAAGAAAGAGAATTAGGAAGAAAGAAGCCAAGACTGAAAAAGAGCTCGTTGGGTACTGGTCCTCCAGTATTACAAAAAGAACTTTGTAAAGTCATTACCAAGTAAGTATTCATCCACAAAATAGGATGCATCGGCATTCTCAGCTCCTCGCCCAGCAAACTAACGAAGGAAAACTAATCATGCTTAAGCTACAGCACTACGAATCTCTCTCTAAGGGCTCTCATTTTCTACAGGGGGAAATGGACTTAAGTTAGTCATTACACATTATGGTCGGTATGTAATACAGTATTGCCTCTTTGAAGATTCTTTTAACCTGTGGAAAGCAGAAAGAAAACCTATACACGTTGATTCTATACATTACTGCATCGACACAGCATTTTCAACCACTAGGATGAATGCACTTTAGGATTCATCTGCCTTGTAGTATTAAACTTCCTGGGTCAATCGATGTCCTGTTAGCTGCAGGACTTAGGCTGGCTGAGAACTTGACACTGATTCTTTCTCAAACCCAAGAGCTACCCGACAACTACAGATGAATCCTGGCCCGCGATGCATTCCCGTGGCAGTACGTGTTGTGGTGTCCAGCTCTCCTCTCAGTAGGTCCCATGTCTCCTGGAGAGCCCCGGGTCCAGCACCCCACATCCCGCCCACCCAGCCTGCCCTGTATCTCCATACCCATTTGCACGCTGCGGATCTGGATTCTCCCGCTCTCAGAGGAGTCATACGAACGGCGTCATGACCGCGGAGGAATGGCGCAGTCCCTGGAGGGCAGCGTAGGGCCCCTGCTGGAAGTAGTGGTGGTAGCGCGGCATGTGGAAGGACGGGAAGGCGGGGCCGCTGCTCTGCATGGAGCCGGCGATGGCCGAAGGGGCCAGGGGCACCCCGAGCCGGCCGTACGGCGGCAGAGAGCCCTGGATGGCGTGCGGAATGGGGGTCGCTATGGATGCTGTGCTGGTGCCCAGGGCAGTCAGGGGCTGTGGGTGCTGAAATCCAGGAAAGCTGGGGGAAGACGAGACCCAGGAGCTGAGAGACAGGTTATCCGACGTTGTGAAGGCGGACCCTGGAAGGCGAAAGGACTCGTTAGACTGGGAACTCTATTCCGACGTGCGAGTCGAGAATTGTATGATCTGTAAGGATCGATTTAAGAAATTTGTTAGTAGATCTGCAGTCCAAAAAGACAGACATGTCAACCAGGAGGCAGCTCGACCTTTCCAGATAAGGAGATATCATTTACACCACGTATGGAAGAGAGGATTTACTAAATAGGAAAAGACTTAACCCATTAGATGGCCTACAGACTCCCGGGGAGTAGCCAAAATACGGGTTCACTACCTGAAGGTCTTACCTGATTCCTGATTCCCCTTAAAGGAGCTCCAGGGAGCTGATACTGTCTTAACCTCTGCAGATCCCCAAAGGAGGGCTGGACATACGAGCCCCAAAAGCCACCGTGAGAACACACAAGTGTGTTCCTTTTCTTTTTTTTTTAGCTTCCATAACTCCTTATGAAATATTTGACAAGTTACGAAGTTACTTTTTCTTACATCATAGCATCCAGATGTTTAAACAAGAGTTGACATTGATTTTTCCGATTGTATAATTACCAGGAGCTCACTTGGATTTAGCTATAAGAGATGACCTCCGTTTTGACCGATTATGCTGTTCCATGTTACGGACGTAGCAATATGACAGGGGCTTGCTCCCCATATGAACATCCCTGTGCCTGGTCACCCTCTGGTCGTTCTTCTCTGGACTCCAGGTGCAGAGGGCTCCTCCTCCAGCTTTTCTGACAGAGGGACTTCCAGCGCCCCCTCTCACCACTGGGGCTGCCGCCTCTGAGTAGTGCCCTTCACTAGGAGAATCTCCTTTTTAAAAGTGTTTTCAGTTTTAGCCATTATCCTATAAGATATTCCTGACCTAGGTGGAACAGATATAGTCCTTGATTTTTCCAATTATAAACTTGAGGTTCAGAAAGACTGAGGGACCACCCCCGACATCCTACAGCTCCTTGGTAAGTAACTCCTTAGCCCTGAATCAGGGGGCTCATGTCCTTTTACCAGAAAAGGAAACCACAGGAAACCTTCAGGCATCATAAATCACTTACGACTCAGAGGCAGAATTATGAACTATGTGAAAATCGGCCTCAGGGGCTATTACTTCTTGAAGAAGCTCTTGAAATATTTGGGGACAGCGTGTGCCCTGAGGACAAGAAGCCTCATGCGCTACCTGCCTTAATTCTCCTTTGTGTGCTGGTGCTCCCGGCAGCTGCAGAGCTGGGGAAGCTGTCTTACCTCGGCCCTGTGTCGTCTGAACCTCATCTCCCAGGACATCCTCTTCTCCATAGGTACGGATGGGTGAGCGGGCATAGGAATGCTTTTGAATCAGGCTCTCCACACTTTCCCTAGGTTAGAAAGCGATATATCCTGAGTAAGCTAAAGAGGACTCCAAGGTGGAGAGGGGTCTTAAAGGTAATTTACGAGTCAGTGGAAACATTTTCTCAGCCAAAAGACCACCACTTCTGGGAAAGACCGCATTCAAAACATGTATATTTATTCCACTGTAGACTTCTCAGAAACATGACCTTAGGCATACAAATACAAGCAAGTATAACTGAATAGGGTAGAGACAATCCCCTGAAATCCTACAAAGTGAGGAACAAAGAGGTGAACAGGGAGCTCTGAAACCTGACCACAGGCATACGGAGTTTAATTATGTGAAAGGCGAGTGAGCAAATTTAGTGCAAGGAGCTGCAAAGAATCATCTCACCGACTTCATCAGCTAATGAATACAAAACAAATGCTCAGCTGGTATGAACTGCACTGATCCAACATGCAATGAACTGTTGGCAAAATGTTCAAACTATCATTAATCATAAAAAGACTTAGTGTTCAACTAACAAAACTAGTAAATCCATAGAGCATATGACAATATGGGTAGTTTTGAATAATGAATCCTGATTTTCTTTTGCTTTAAGATTGAAAATTACAGAGACACTGTGAGGGACACATACACAGCCATTAGTAAATTGAGGTCCCCAAATAAATTGGTCCATTGTCTTTAAAGATCGTCTTTCTCATGCAGCAGTCTATAAACTAGAGTACATTAACTTAAAAAAGAAAAAAAAAAGTATGAGGTTAGCCAAATAATTTTTTGCCAAAAGTGCAAGTTGGTAACACGTTAGCTTACACAGCATACGACTCTGGAATAGCTGTGGCCTCGAGACCAGCGCCAAAGGACAAAGAAAGGAGCAAAAGAAAGTTGTATTGAGAGAAAAAGGACAAACCAAACACCAGATTTCATATTGAAGGGACAAGGAAAGCAAATAAAATGTCATCATGACTTTTCAAAATGTAATGCTTGTCCATAATTCACATACATACATATATATATATATACACACACACACACAGACTTTATCTGTGAAAAATACTAATTCATAGTGAATATGATGTTCTAGAAAGCTTATATATTCAACATATATACAAAAGCACTTTGTCATAATAGTGTACAAAAGAAGACTTAAGGGTATGCCTAAAAGAAAAATTAATTCTAGCAACTATTTGAGTTACATCTCTGTTCCCAAAAGGTTTTTAAAATAAGCATACAGTACAACTTCCTATAGTCTAAATGACTGAGATCAGGCAAAATCCAGACCTGATGGCTTAACACAGAGCTGTTTTTTAAAAACGAGGCCATTCCATGTTTATCGATATGAAATGATCTCCAAGATGGAGGAAGTGAAAAATGCAAAGAAGCATCTTTGTTCCTCTTACGGAATATGTCTTTAATTCCTTGGCTTCTTCCAATATTTTTCTTCATTACAGCTTTTGAGCAACTTGATTGTCATGTTATTTCTTCCTTCTTCTTGAATTTAGGGGTGTCGGGCCTCTAAGCATTATGTGTTTTTAGTTGACATTAAATTTGGCAAATTTCTGGACATTATTTCTTCAAATATAATTCTTCTCCTACACCTCCTCCACCTTTCAGGTGTTCCAATTACACATACACTAGACTGCTTAAAGTTTTCCCCAACACTATTCATTTAAAAAAAAAAATTTCTCCATGCTCTCTATATTTCACTTTGGATAGTTTCTATTGCTATATCTTCAAGTTTGCTAATCTTTTCACCTGAAATGTCTCATCTGCCATTAATCCTATCCAGTGTATCTTTCATTATACATAGCCAGTCCCTGATTTACAGTGGTTCAATTTAGGATTTTTTGACTTTACAATGGTATGACGGTGATATACATTCAATAGAAACTGTACTTCAAATTTTGAATTTTGATCTTTTCCCAGACTAGTGATAAGTGGTACAACACTCTTCTGTTGCTGGCAGTGAGCTACCCGTCCCTGTCAGGCACATGATCACAAGAGTAAAGAACTGAAACTCGACAGTACCCTGTGTAGCCAGCAGCTTCTGGTTATTGTGTTCTGAGCACGTTTCAGGTAGACTAGGCTAAGCTATAGTGTTTGGTAAGTTGGGTGTATTTGATGCATTTTCAACTTACAATAGGTTTATTGGGACATAACTCCATTGTAGGTTGAGGAGCATCTGTATATTGCAGTTTTCATATTTAGAATTTTGAATTGGATCTTTTGGACATCTTCCATATCTCTATTTAATTTTTTGAATATGTAGAATACAGTTATAATAACTGTTTTAATGTCCTTATCTGCTAATTATAATATTTACGTCAGTTAGGGGTTATTTTCAATTAACTTATTGCCTCATTATAGATCTTAGTTTTCTACTTCTTTGCATTTTTGATCATTTTTAATTGGATACCAGACATTGTGAATTTTACCTTGTTAGGTGCTATATATCTTTGTATTGCTAAACTTTATTCTAGGATATAGTTGTTACTTGGAAATAATTTGGCCTTTTTGGTCTTGCTTTCAAGATGTTAGATAGGACATACTACTGAAGCAAAACCCTTCTGAATATTCCATCAAATGCCCTGAAAGTCACAAAGTTTCCCGGTCCATCTTGCTGGAACAGGCACAATTCCCTTCCATGAATGAACACTAGGCACTGTTTCTTCTAATCCTTTCACGAGCTTTACCCCCAGCCTCTGGCAGTTTCCTGACATGCATGTGCTGATTGGGTCTCAGCTGAATACTCAGGCATCCCTGTAGACCTCCAGAGTCCTCCTCTGCTGTAGTCAGTCCTATGGATTCTCACTGATTTGGTCTCATCAAACCCTCAGCTCTGATAGCTCTACTCAGAGAGACCGCCAAGCTCTGCCTGAATTCTTTCTCTCTGTGGCATGGCCAGTATATGCTCTCAGACTATAAACTGGGGCCATCACAGGGCTCATGTCATTTGTTTTCCATCCCTTGGGGATTATTGTTTTTTATTACCTAGTATCCAGTGTCACGCAAAAAAAGAAAAAGAAAAGAAAAGAAAAAAAAACCACTGTTTCATATTTTTTCTGTGTGTCTTAGTTACTCATGGCAACAGGGTATACTTGATCCTTGTTGCTTTACCTTTACCTGAGGTAAAGTCTCTCCTGGGGATCTTTTAAAAATACCAAGACCCAGACCACATCCACAGACCCAGTAAAATTGTCATAACCTCTGGGGGTGAGACACGGGCTTCAGTAACTGCTAAAGCTCACCAGGTGCTTCCAGCAGGCATGCAAGTTAAGGAATGAATGGAGGAGAGGTGTGTGACAGGTACTTTTCACCATACATGCCTCTGTACCATTTGAACTTTGGACATAAGGATTGTTCATTCAAAATTAATTACAGATCGTTAAATATCATGAGAAATGACAACGTACCAATGAATAAAAAGAAAAGAACTTCTGGTCTAACTCTGATACTTGGGGAACTTATAACGAATCGATAAAAATAGTCATTATCGTGCCGATTTTTTACGTTAATGTAGTAAACATATTGGAGGCAGTCTGGTATAATGGAAATATCATCGGCTTTAAAGTCATTCATTGAATGGATGAATAGATAGAAGAGTAGGTGGACCACCTGGAGCCATTTTTACATTCTAATTTTGTTACTTCCTTAACCTCTCATCTGTAAATTGGAGAGCAAAATACCTGCCTGCCTCTCGGGGCCATTTATTCAAAAAAATATATGGATCGAGAACCTATTATGAACAAGGCACTATTCCAAGAATTGTCGAGATAGCAATCAAACATAATGATCCCTGCCTAATGAGGGGGAGGGGCCTACAGGCAAAAAAAGAGAGAGAAGACAATAGAATCATATGTAGTATATTAGATGACGACGATAATAGTGCTATGAGAAAATAAAGGTAAAGCAGAGAATAGTAATAAAACCCGTACTATGAGGATTAAGTGAGATAAGTCATTTGAATTGCCCCAAGTAGTGCCTGGAACATAGGAGATACTCAGTAAATATAATGCACTATAAACGTATATCTATAGCAAGTAAAAATATTATATCCTATTAGATTGTATTTTTCTACAATTTACTCTATCTGAATAATCCTAATTCAGAACAATGTGATCCAAACAGAGAATTTTTCTCAGTGATTGAATGGTAAACTCAACAGAGAATTTGACCATGTTATTGGCAGTCCTGATATAAAATTACATCTATCATAAAGACAAAATGTTAAGTGAGTCCATATCACTTGTTTAAAAGTGTAACCTATTTAAAAACAAATAAATTAAATAAATAAATAAATAAATAGATAGATAGATAGATAGATAGATAGATAAATAAATAAATAAAAGTGTAACATATTTTTAAAATTCCTTGAATGGATTTGTTGAATCCCTACAGTTAGACTTGTTGAAATGAAAATATTTTATCATTTACTAAGAGGCATCAGTAAATATAGTAAATGCAGAAGTTAATGAAAAGGATAATTTGGCATGACATGAATCTTAATTAATCAACTGGCCAACTGTCATATATTTTCATCTTTATGTGCCCACATTCTGATAATGTTGGACTCCCACAGCCTTAACAGCTTACTGTCAGTTACTCAAGGACGTAACTCACTGCAATATTAGAGAGTGACTATCTTTGTGGGTAATTAATCTGGGTCATGAAGAAAAAGTCAAGTGAGCTGTTTGTCATTAATACAATGACAAACCTTAATAATATGACATACATTCAAGCTGATGTCCTTTTAGTCTGAGTCACGTGTTGTACTGTTAATATTTAAGATTAACTTAGAAAAGAATTAGGTGGTTATTTTTACATGAGGAAGGAACTTGCCTCAACTACCCAATACCCTAGAAAATATTTTTTCTTTGTATAGTCATAAAGGAATGTCCATCAGTGGCCCAAATTCTGAATTGCCAAGTGTATTCCTCTTCCCATCTTAGGCACATAAACTGCTCAATCCAAGCATTTAAATTCAAAAGCAGAGTGTAGTATTCACCACAAAAGTGCCCTTACATGAAA